CCCAAAATGCAGGTCACATGACAACGGGAGGGAGACCCGGACAGTGTAATTTGTAAATGGGGTCATAAATCGCTTTTGGGGATCTGTTGTATCTTTGAATGGTCGGTGAGTGACTGGTTGTAAGTTGAGAACTTTCAGCTAAAGCCATCTGTTAGTTTTGGAAACACCCCTCAAGATTTGCCCTTGAGTTACAGCAATATTATGTCTACAGGAAGTTATAATTCATAGTCAGCCAACGGTCAACCATAGCATACATTTTGAGGAACTTAAATGTGTCTTCCAGACAGATTTACAGTCAAGCCAGCATATAGATTAAAATAGAGACTTTTGCTTCAGCAGTTTTCATGTGCAGACTTCCTAAAAGCAACCCTTTGCAATTTCTATATATGAACAGTTAAAGCTTACTATCATGAGACCCTAGTTTGGTTCAGGCTTGAGGCCTACCTTGGTTCAGCCCGCCACCTCAGTCCCCCCTTTGTGACTCATCTTCACCTGCAAGAAGAGTCACATAATTTGATTCAGACTGAAGGGTTAAAGCTTACTATCATGAGACCCTAGTTTGGTTCAGGCTTGAGGCCTACCTTGGTTCAGCCTGCCACCTCACTTTCATTGCACAATATGCACAACTACAACTTGTCCAGAATATAGCAGTCCAAATAGCTTTGGACTCCTATCATTATTCCCATATAGCACCAATGGTGTGGAAGTCCCACCAGCCATCTTTCGGATGCAAATCAAGATGCTGGTTGCACATTTAAAGCTCTTTGAAGGCCTGAACATCTGTGGAGTGTCTTCTCCCAATAACATCTGCCAGACGAATACATCAAACAAAGAAGGCTGATTCCCCTCCCCACCCCCCACCCCGGTTAGGACAATATTTTCCTCGACATTCCTGTTAGTTCTGAGTGGAGTCGCTTATAAATCTTGTAAATAAGTACAATAAATATATGTTATAGGATTGTCATGCTTATCCTTTGTCATGCTTCATATTTGTCTTGATTAACTATATTTGGCTAACTGTATTATTTACAAACATATGCATTGTTGTATTATTTGGTTATATTTGGTGAGCTGTATCAATTAGAAATTGCGTTCATTTCATGTGATGCAATATTTATTTTGTGTAGAGAAATCACGAGTTTTGTACAGAGAGATCATGAGTTTATGTTTAAATGAGAGTTGTCATAGTTAAACTTAAGTCACTGCTGGTTTTGGTGTGTTGAGTCAACTTCAAAACACGGCATATATTGTACCTGAACTGCGCTTCTGTTCATTTTGCATTCTGAATGTTATTTCTTAGGATGATGCCTCATCGCCAGGGGATCTTGTAATAGGAGATGGAGGTAAAATCTTACGGTTTTAACTTTCTACTTCAACAATTGCGCTTCTGAAATGCAACCGTCCACTTTGTTTGATGCTTAACGTGGTAAACCAACACCAATTATTATAGTCATCTTTCTCAATTACAGATGGTCAGATCATTGAAGGAGACAAGCTTTACTGGCCAACTCAATCTGCCTTAACAACACGGTTGCGTCGCCTCATAACAGCGTATCAGCGTACCAGTAAGAGCAGGCAAAGCCAGCCAATTCAAGCCCCGTTTTCTGTCCAGGCTTGTGTAATGCCATCTGCCTTTGAAGAAGCTGTTCTAAATCCAAAAGTAGCTGCCAAAATTGAAAGACAGCAAAGGTAGGCTGTGATTATTGCAGGTCTCAAGAAATCTTCTGATGCCTCCACGGTGTTCACTTGCAATCAGTGTTCCCCTTTGCCCTTCCATCTAGGTGGACAAGAAGAGAAGAAGCTGATTTCTACAGAGTGGTGTCTACGTTTGGTGTTGTATTTGATCCAGACAGAGCCCAGTTCGACTGGACAAAATTTCGAGCGATGGCGAGGTTGCATAAAAAAACAGATGAAAGTTTAGAGAAATACCTGTATGCGTTCATGGCGATGTGCAGAAGAGTTTGTCGCTTACCTTCAAAAGATGGTGGGTTGCTTATAATACTTCCCCCCTCCCCCCCCAAAAGAAAGAAAAACTATTTTAGGAGCAATAACAAAACACGTACTGAAAAAGTTGCCCTATGACCGAAATCCTACGTCATGAAATGCATGTTTTGATATATCGTAATGTTTAGAAATTCTTTCCCCTTAAACAAGCAAAAGCTCCTAAATTTCTTTCACCTTAGAAGGTAGCATTGTGTTCACTGAAAGAAAAAGAGATTGGGGGGGGGGGGATGGGTGTGTAAATAACACTTTCTTAAAAAAAAAAAAGGCCATTTAATGTCCCGGATTCCAACTGAAGTTAGAAGATCCTGCTACTAGTCTTAATTCTTTTTGGGTGTCTTTCCTGTGCAGACTTTGTGGATTCAAACCTTTTCATCCAGCCAATCACAGAAGAGCGTGCATCTCGAACCTTATACCGCATCGAGCTCCTCAGAAAGGTACGAGAGCAAGCTGTCCGTCATCCTCAGCTCTGTGAGCGATTAAAACTTTGTCAGCCAAATCCAGACTTGCCTGCTTGGTGGGAATGTGGGACCCATGATTGGGATTTATTGGTTGGTGCCGCGAAACACGGAGTGAGCAGGACAGATTACCACATCCTTCGCGACCCCGAGCTCTCCTTTATGTCAGCTCAGAAGAACTACAGTCACAGCAAAGCGGCGCTTCCGAGGACAGCTTCTGCTCCGCTCTTGCAACCGTACCAGATGGCGCTGTCGGCCTCTCCTCTCATGCCCCAAGCCAGGCTGCCGGACGCTAAAGGGATCGTGCTTGAGGACGCAAAGCCTAAGGACGAAAACCACAAAGAACCTCATTCCTCAGACGAGGAGCCCATGTCTACTGAAAACGTGCCGATGGGGGTGAAGGCGGAACCGTCGAGCCCGAAGAGCGGCTCGCCCTCACACGCGGCTGACCCCAAGCCCGTTCCGAAGGGGGATCACGGCAGGCGCATGGTGGCAGCGAGGACCGAACCCTTAACGCTAAACGCTGCTTCCAAAAAGCCGAGATCTGGGAAGAGAGGATCGGACTCTAGCTGTGACTCCAACTCCGACTCGGAGAGGTCGTCCTGTTCTTCCAGATCGTCTTCATCCTCATCGTCGTCTTCTTCCTCTTGCTCTCGTTCCAGATCAGGATCCAGCTCTTCGTCTTCTTCATCTTGCTCTTCAGCGTCGTCGTCCTCCTCCTCCTCTTCTTCCTCTTCCTCCTCTTCCTCTTCTTCCTCTTCGTCGGAAGAGAGTGACAGTGATGAAGAGGAGGCCCAAAAGAGACGTAAGTGCCTTTTTAAAAAAAAAATTAAAAAAACCCCTTAGAAGCTGCTTCAGAGAAAGACATAAACTATTTTTCATGGATTTTCAGTTTCAGTTTTGGTTTATTTGTATGCCGCCCTTCTCCAGGAGGGACTCAGGGCGGCGAACAACTCAAAGG